TTACACAGTATTACACCACATCTCATTACCCCATTCAAGTCCCTCTATTAGCTCAATTGAATGGTGGGATTTCCATTTGTAAATTGGGGGATTTTAGATTAGCTTGTCTGTATGTCAGCTGTGAAATGCTCCCATGAGACAGTGAATGATGTGACCAATCACATGTGAATCAATGCTTACTCATGCTTGTGCTGTGAGTGGTGGTGTCGAGCAAAAGGAAAACAATCAAAATACATGTGTTTAGGAACAATGTGAGCTGATTTCTAATAGGGTCATGTTGTTTTACTATTTGCATATTTAATTACTCTGAGTTGTAAATGATACACACCTGTAGTGATGTACACCTGACATGATTCAGGTCTAAACAGAGATTGTTTTATACTATTACTGTATCCTCACCTACTACCAGTTTATTTATGCAGAAACACAGTCAGCCAACAGAAACCAAGGGTATGAATCTCTCTTCTTCCCCAGGCCTCTCATTCAGACACGGAGTGAGACAGAAGAGAGAGAGAGAGATAGAAAAAGAGGCCCCCCAAGCGAGCTGAGAGACGCGGCAAATTATGAAAATGCCTCTCTGTGTCCTAAATGGAGGCCGAGCTCTTTAATGTCGCACAAAATTAGAACCTGAGGGAGGAAGTGTGGCCTGCTTGATTGGTGAAACCCCTTCTGGCCCACTCCCTCACCCCCTCTCAAAACCAACAGAGATATTATCACATGCCCAGTGGCGCTCTGTTGTATAGGGGAAACAGAGAGACCCCTGAGAGGGTCCAGGGGCGTCCATAAAGGTGCCTAATTTGTCAGTTTACTCCTCAATTATTTAAATAGATCTAAGGGAGCGGAGAAAGGGGCTTTTTCTGCCTTTCCATAGTAATGCGGAGCGAGACCTTTCTCCACAGTAGCCATTTTGAATTATGCTCTGCACTGCTGTCTTTGATATAAGAAAGTGCAGTGGTGCAGAGGGGCTGTATCAAATAAACAAATGTGTGTACACAAGATAACAACGGGAATTTAGGATAAAATTAACTTAGCCAAGTATAACTCCAAGAGGTTTTCACATTTACTATACTGTAATACATATTGAAAAAACACACAAACCTGTCAGTCGAGATTTAGGGCGGAGGTGTACTATGGAGACAGGGTAAAAACCCTTAGTCCATACATCCCCTGTGGTCCTCCATGCCCCTGGCTGCCTGGGTAAAGTCCTTATCCCTCAACCACCTCCCCAACCTGGACAGAGGAACATGGCTCCTTTCCTATCAGCCAGACACCACCCACCTCTCATGTCCTGCTAAAGGAGCAGCACAGCCAGGCAGGGCCAGGCCTCACCCAGGCTAGGGCCAGGCAGCCCATTGGAGGTATGTAGGGGCTGGGGCCAGAGATTAGCAAGGGTTCAAGATTGATCCTGAAAACGTAGATGGCCAAATCCCCCAACCCCCTGACCCCTAATCCCTCCCATATCTGTCCCTATTGTTGAGGGCTTTATTAAAAGAGACGAGGAGGAGGATGCTGTGGAGGTATAGTAGGGGGTCCTGAGGTGACCATCTTCCCCAGGCGTCTGGTGGAGGCAGGTAACAGGGCCTCCCTCCCTGTGTCTACATGCTTTGCTGTAGGTCCCTGTTGTGAAGGATACTCATCTGTTCAACAACAAGTCCTTTCAATAAGCTCTATATCAGCAGCAGCAACAACACAAGGTCATGTGACAACACAATAGACCTTGTATTCCTACACCAAGACAGGGACAAAGTTCTCATCAACACAATGACTTTGTCCCTTTAAAAACACAGGCGGAGAATACACATTTAGACTTTCCGCACAACAGGAGACAAACAAACCAACACAAAGAAATATACAGTAAAGACAATGGAGAGAGCTGCTAGCACCTGTACAAACAGACTCTCCGTAAACCCACAAACACACTGTACCTGCAGGGTCTCAAACAATGGCCGTCACACACTGAGACACACACTCGTCAAGGCAATGGCAAACTCAACCTGCAAGCATGGCAACTCACGCATTACAACAGGTCAACATAGTCATTCTCCAAGAGTAAAATAACCATATAACACAAAGGAACGTGCTTTGGTCCCATGCATGTTCTATTAGACTTTTGGCTTGTTGGGTCTACACTAGAAAAACAACCAATGATAAAAATTGGAAACACCTTGGATATTCCAGCTTGTCTGCTGGTGCTAAGGCACCTTGGAGCCCCAGCACTACTATGGGGACACTCCACTCCACACTGTCATCTATAAGACCTACAGTGCAAAACCAACCATCAACAGCCACTGCATTACACAAACCTACAAGTATGGATGAATAACAAGAACAATCCTGTGCTAAAAATATGTCAAGTTCAGTCGCGGTCATTGGCCAGGATCACAGAAATGAGAGTAAACACCCTTGAAACAGGTTTACCTGCTTAGGAAACTGATCTGCAGGGAAGTTTTTCAGAGTGTAAGATGATGCAAAATCTGTGGCCAGCTCAGTACATTATGCCTATTCCACCCACCATTCTGTTCCCAAACACCACCCCCTCTACCCCAACATTCTCCATCCAGCCAGAGAGCAGAGGAGATAGGCCCAGACGCTAAAGCTGTCTTTTCAGCCCCTGCTCCCTTTCGGTCTATCTGAGATGCACAGCAAGCGGAGGTGTCGCTTTTCCGCTGGCATTTCGGACAGTATCTACTTATAGACGGGAGAAAAAGAGAAAAGAAAAACAGAAGGGGTATTATCAGGGAGGGATGAGAGCAGCAAAGGCATTTTGTCTTTTTATTCCCCTCCTAAGCCCTGGGCTTTGCTCCCAATCCGATTGGTCGATACGGCCAGGGATGTAAATGAAATGCAAAGACGAACAAGGCTGGCTTCCCATCTCCAGTGTGTGCCCCCCATGTCCCCCCCCCCCCCCCCCCCCCCCCCCCCCTCTCTCTCTTTTCTGCTCTGTCGCTATTCTCTTTCTCCGGCTGTTTATAGTGTTGTCTCTCTGTCTCCCATTCACAGGCTTGCCTCTCTCTCACCCTCTGTCTCTTTCCCCCTCTCCCTCCATCCCTTCCCTCTCCCTCTCTCCCTGGCTGGGCTCACAGCTCTTATCTCCTCAGACGCCCCACATTCCAGCGTTGCTGTGGCTCCCTGCCTGCATCTGTGGTCACGGCGATTCCATGGGTTCCTACAATCCTTCGGCAGCTTGCTGATTTGGGGTGGGCAACTGACTCTCAGAGACAGGGGGGTGGGGGGGGAGAGACAGGGAGAGAGAGGGATGTAAGAGAGGGATGAGAGAGAGCGAGGGAGGGAGAAAGAAGAGGGAGAGGACAGAGAGGGAGATTCAAGTAGAAGAGAGGACACGAGAAAAGGCAAATTATAATGTAAGGTGAGAAAGTGAGCGAAAAACACAACATATATATCAAACAGCTGTACATTCTACTATAGATTCACATCGATTTTTTTTGCATCTCCTTTTAATACTAATTTGTCATATTTGATACATCAGTAAATACATACACCAGAAATAAAATGTCTCATAGGAAAAATAAACACAGTAGAAAAAAGCTCTGAGAACATTTTAAGTGGAAAAGTGAATCTTTATTAGAGTATTTTAATCTGTGGACAGCAGAAAAAATAGCGTGTTCATTGACTGAGACTGTGAAAGGTAAGCGAGGTAGAAGGTCTATGCAAGAACAGAGGGAAGAGGGAATGAAAGGGAAAGGTATCAATGAAAGGTGAGATAGTTAAAGATGTTATCAAGTGTACTCTGTCCACTGGCTCTGCATGCCATCATGTCTCTCAGACCAGCCTCAAGTGACTGGGTCCATCTCTCTAGGAGACTGGGTCGTGCTGCTGAGGACCTTTGCATGTCTGTCTGCAACGTCTCTGAGTGTCTGTCCGCAACGTCTCTGAGTGTCTGTGTGACTGTAGTTATGACTCTCAATGTCTGCGCAACGGAATGTCTCTCTGGAGATGAAAGCGCTCCAATGTTCGGTGTGTGTGTTTCTCTCTGCATGTCTGTGTTTCACAGGAGGAGCACACACACACCTCTAAAAGGGTCCCTGGCAGTGTAACATTTAATATTTCATTTAAATTTGTGAGGGATTATAGCTCTGCCGTCAAAAGGAGAAAAAAAGCTCCTTGAATCCATTTGTTTTTTAAAGGACCATCTCAGATGGATGGATAGTTGGTGGGCAGTGGTGGCGATTGGGAGCCGGGGTCGTGCTAAGATCCCAGAGGACAGCGTGGCACTGCACAAGTCTGTCCCAGATTAAGAGCCTGCTCTAATCCCCCATTTCTGCGCACAAATTGGGTTTCCCTCAATCTCAGCCTGACCCTCCTAATGGGAGAAAAAGAGAACTAAATCAGCAGGAGGCCACATAATCACAACGTTAAAAGTCGTGAGAGAGGGAGAGGAAGAGATGCAGAGAGAGGCAGGGAAATAGTCAATAAAAGAGTGTGTGTGTGTGGGAGACATGAACAACTTGATTGGGTTCAGTCCAGGCTGCAAAAGTCATGTAACGTCCCCAGTGGAAAACATTCCCGCAGTGTGAGGTGCAGCCAGGGTCCTGTTTGTCTGGACAACCCCACCCCATCACAGAGAGCCTCATCGCCAGCACTACCTCCAACAACACCACCTCCATATTATGTACCATTTTCTAGCCAAGTCTTTGACAAGGGACGTTTTTCATGACCTACTTCATGGAAGAATGGTGCAGGTCGTCATACATACATTGTTACATGATCTATGAGTGCAGGTAAACCTGTATCCAAACACCTCCAGAGAGCCCAGTCTACTCTCCACTTTACTGGGTGTGTTCAACCCTTGAGAAAACCCTTTAGCCCAACCACAAGAGGCTAGAGCACCAGTCAAAGTCCCCTGGCTGCAACACTGGAACCTCCTTTCAACAATGAGTTGTGAGGACCTCTTCTCCTAAGAGTCTCCATGGCAATAGTGTCCTGTAGTAACAGTAGAAGCCCACTCCCTGTGTGCCTGCTCCATCTAACCCTCCCCTCCCTCAGGGGGTGCGTCTCTGCCGGACCCTGGTCCTCTCCTGCAGCAGGTGGGAGACGGCGGTGCGGATGGCGGGGGCCTGGGAGTCCGTGGGCTCCTTGTCCAGGTACATGCTGAAGTGCTGGATGCTGCAGGTCAGCAGGCTGTCAGGGCTGTGGCCCTGTTTCCCCGAGCGCAGGAGCTTCTCGCTGGCCAGGGCCAGGTTCCTATCCCAGTTGGGAGGGTAGTCTGTGTGCCTCTCCACGATCTCCTTATACAGCTGTCAATCACAAAGAACACAACTTGTATACAATGACCATAACAAGCACCAATATACAATTATTGACCATATATTGTACTTCTAAGCTATGCGATTATGGTTCATGCTCATCCTCCTATTTATTTGCTATGGGAGGACTGCCTCACAGTGTAGGAGAGCTCAAACAGGCGATCTTTCCCCTCTCCCTGGATCCTCTCAGCTAGGTCAAACAGAAAGAAAGCAGTCTTCATCCTGAAACAAACAGAACATATCACAGGCTCAGGGCTAAGTGCTGGATGGATGGATGAACCGTGGAGATTTATCCACAGAGATGCACTAGCAGAAAAGAGTGATTTATGTAGATGCTAGCTACACAACAGCATTTCATGTAGAATAGCTGGTGCTCTACCACACCAGAGTGGGTTATGTAGATGTTTTAGCTAGCAGATTAGGGTGATCTGTCATAGAGGCTCTATCTGTAAACTATACATATATACAGTGACCGTAAAAGAGAAAAGGGAGTCAGTGTTTTCAATGTTAACTCTTTACTGTACCTGGCCTGCCACATCTCCTCGTTAGCCACCCTCTCCCAGGACCCTGGGTGGAAACTGGAACCAGACACAAAAACAGCTCTTTATCTCAACACCCCTAGGGCTTTTCTTATGCATCATTCCTTCCACACAATCATATTAATTCTGTATCATTATGGATGTTAATATACATTGTTCAAAGTGTGCAGGTTTAGGTTTTCATAAACCCAATGTGAATATACAGTACAGTACTGTTGAGCAACAATAATACCAACACATTAGACATGGAAGGAACCATATATCCTGTTTCATGTTGTTGCGTATAAACACGACCTCTTCTTCAAAATAATATTTTAGCAGGGTTCCGAGCTAATATTTGGCTTGCGGGCATCGACGGACACGCTTGTAGTGAGGGCAAAGGAAATAATGTCACAGTATTCAGCCATGATTATCGCAGTGAATGAGGGACTGCTGGCAACGGCAACAGAATACGGAGCTTTGACTAATTCCACTTTTGACACACTTATTGACAAAACGCAATAAGAAACTCATTATGTTTCATCTTCAGTCTCATTTCAAATGGCTGAAGGCCTAATGTCTTGCTTTGGTATAACGCAGAAAGAGCTGCTGGATCAGAGCACGGAGAACAGAGGAAACCTTGCTGTAGGAACGTCCGTTAAGTCTCTGCCAGTATTGTGAAAGACCACATAGAGAAGTCAACACCAAAGAGTATCACTGAACAGAAGATTCCTATTGTGCTATAGAAGTGTATGATCACTGGATTCCTAACTAACTTGCCTAGCATGTTCGTCATGCTATGGCATACAATATGACCATTTCCATGGCAGCTAGCAGAACACCACAGACTCCCCATGAACTGTAAGCTTCTCCTGCTGAGCGGGGCCCCCACCCCTCCAGAGGGCCCTCTGGGCTGTATGTGTAGTGTACTGTGTATCTGTTGTGTGGCTCGGTCCAGATGTAGATGTAGTGGGTGCGGCAGGCCCACTCCTCCGGGTGGAAGGGCTCCTGGACAGGCACCAAGTGGTCACACACGCCCAGGGGCCAGCGAGAGAAGCTCCTCTCCCAGCTGGGGTCCCCGTCAGGCAGCCTGATGCAGGCCAGCACAGCCCCCCTGCAGACCAGGCAGGCACTGTGACCATGCTGCTGAGGTGGACAGAGCTGAACCACAGTGCCGGAGCCCCTAAAGGGAACTACCCTCAGCTATCTATCTCCCCTCAAACAATACTCACTCTCACCCCAGGTGACTTCTGATAGAATTGAATAAGCATACATGGGAAGCATATGTGCCTCCACCTCATACCCAACAAACACAAGCATGTGCACACACGCACACCTTTCAACTCTCTCCCATTCCTACTGCTCCACTCTCCTATGCTGTGCCCTGAGGGTTGATCCCACTGGTCAGTGTTGCCCCCCTGTTGGCCAAGCAAACACTGCCCCCTGGTGGGCTTGGCATTTACAGGAGTCCTGTCCAACCCATTTGTTCTCTGTATCCCTCAAGTAATATAGTCAGATGGATAAAACATAAATATACTGTATACAGTACATTCGTAAAGTATTCAGACCCCTTCACTTTTTCCACATTTTGTTACGTTACAGCCTTATTCTAAAATGGATTAAATAAATAAACATTCTCAGCAATCTACACACAATACCCCATAATGACAAAGCGAAAACAGGTTTTTAGAAATGTTAGCAAATGTATTAAAAATAAAAAACAGAAATACCTTATTTACATAAGTATTCTGACCCTTTGCTATGAGACTCGAAATTGAGCTCAGGTTCATCCTGTTTCCATTGATCATCCTTGAGATGTTTCTACAACTTGATTGGAGTCCACCTGTGGTAAATTCAATTGATTGGACATGCTTTGGAAAGGCACACACCTGTCTATATAAGGTCCCACAGTTGACAGTGCATATCAGAGCAAAAACCAAGCCATGAGGTCAAAGGAATTGTCCGTAGAGTTCCGAGACAGGATTGTGTCGAGGCACAGATCTGGGGAAGGGTACCAAAAAATGTCTACAGCATTGAAGGTCCTCAAGAACACAGTAGCCTCCATCATTCTTAAATGGAAGAAGTTTGGAACCACCAAGACTCTTCCTAGAGCTGGCCGCCCGGCAGAACTGAGCAATCGGGGGAGAAGGGCCTTGGTCAGGGAGGTGACCAAGAACCTGATAGTCACTCTGACAGAGCTCCAGAGTTCCTCTGTGGAGATGGGAGAACCTTCCAGAAGGACAACCATCTCTGCAGCACTCCACCAATCAGGCCTTTATGGTAGAGTGGCCAGACGGAAGCCACTCCTCAGTAAAAGGCACATGACAGGCCACTTGGAGTTTGCCAAAAGGCACCTAAAGGACTCTCAGACCATGAGAAACAAGATTCTCTGGTCTGATAAAACTAAGATTGAACTCTTGGACCTGAATGCCAAGCGTCAAGTCTGGAGGAAACCTGGTACCATCTCTACGGTGAAGCATGGTGGTGGCAGCAGCATGCTGTGGCGATGTGTTTGAGCGGCAGGGACTGAGAGACTAGTCAGGATTGAGGGAATGATGAACAGAGCAAAGTACAGAGAGATCCTTGATGAAAACCTGCTCCAGAGCGCTCAGGACCTCAGACTGGGGCGAAGGTTCACCTTCCAACAGAATAACAACCCTAAGCACACTGCCAAGACAATGCAGGAGTGGCTTCAGGACAAGTCTCAATGTCCTTGAGTGGCCCAGCCAGAGCCCAGATTTGAACCTGATCAAACATCTCTGGAGAGACCTGGAAATAGCTGTGCAGCGACGCTCCCCATCCAACCTAACAGAGCTTGAGAGGATCTGCAGAGAAAAATGGGAGAAACTCCCCAAATACAGGTGTGCCAAGCTTGTAACATCATACCCAAGAAGATTTGAGGCTGTAATCGCTGCCAAAAGTGCTTCAATAAAGTACTGAGTAAAGGGTCTGAATACTTATGTAAATGTGATATTTCCGTTTTTTGCCATTATGAGGTATTGTGTGTAGAATGATGAGGGAAAAAAACAATTAAATCAATTTTAGAATAAGGCTGTAACGTAACAAAATGTGGAAAAAGTCAAGGGGTCTGAATACTTTCAGAATGCACTGTATATATTTATTTTCAGTCTTTCTCCACAGTCTTTCACAGACATGGACGAAGTATTATGACTCCTCATGGGGCAGTAGCCTGGTGTTATAGTCCTTAATACTGTAGTTCTTATCTCCTCCATGCACTCCTCATTGTATCAACCACTCAGTGCTCTCCTTCAATCTCACCATTCCTCACACTTTCTACTCATTCCATTGTTGTCCTCTTCATTCACTCTCATTTTTCACTCATCCTTTCATCCATTCAGTCAATCCATGCATTCTCCATAAAGAAAGACACCGTATGTATCTCTATGGTATTCTCTCCCTCTCCCTCCCTTCTCTCCCAGTGACTCACTATGTGTTGTGAGAGAGGAACTGCTCCAGACTGAAGGTGTCTTTCTCCTCAGTGTAGACCGGGTCCCACCAGCGCCCTTGGAAGTGAACCAAAGGGTGATGCTGGCCCAGCTTGGCCACGTACCAGCTCTACGTCATCATCTGGAGGAGCAGAGAGAGAGGTCAACAAACAGGAGCCTTACTAGGATCATCTATTGTCTATCATGTATGACCTCTATTTACAAAGCTATTATCATAAAGCTGAATAAATGGAATTCCTGACCTGGACTTAAAACCAATGCAAGTTACCCTAAGTGGCAAAGTATTGAACTCCTGGTCAACGAGGCATACATCAGGCCGGACCCCCTGGCAGTAGTGGAGGTAGCGCAGGGAGTTCCCTGGGAGGTCTCCCCGGGTCAGGATGATAGAGTCTGGAGGGACCAGAAGCTCCCGCCCAAACCGCTCCACCACACTGTTACTGCTCTGATCACACCCCCTGGGAGGGATGCAACACAAACCTTTACAAGTCAACAGGAGTTAACATATCTTCTCTTACAACTGTGTGTCTGTGTACATTTCCTTTTAGTGAAGTTCTGTTTGTACATCTCCACTACTGAGGATGGTCTCTGTGTGTGTGTGTGTCTTTGTACTGTATGCATGCTTTCAAGTGCCTCTGTGGTAAGTTGTCATTCCCCCCACCCCAGCTCTGTCTATTTAATCGTGGGTAGACAGGTGCGATGGGTCTGACAGCGTAGGACAGGCTCTCCCCCTGATCAAAGCAGCTGTGTGATGGCTCCCTCAGTCTGCCTGGCAGAGCGCAGCACCACACTGGTGTAATCTGCTGCCTCTCATGGCTAACATCTCACACTCAGCATTCACAGTGGAATCTATGTGCTAACCGTGCCTCTTTTTAGCCCCTACCATGGGGTGAGGAGAGACGGGAGAATGAAATACCTGGCATGTGGAGTGCAGGGCCCCAGTTTGAAGTACAGAGAAAATGATTGGGATAGCTCAGGTGAAACAAGTGCAGAGAGATTTTTGTCAGTAAAATTCTCAAGATGTTTTGTGTGTGACCCTCTAGCTCAGGGGTGTCAAACTCATTTTCCCCTCGGGCCGCATTCTGTCTCCATCGAGGTCCGGAGGAGCGCACTTAAAATGGATTATATTTTCTTGCCGTCTAAATCTGCAAAAAAAGAGTCCTCTATCCATCGCTTTTAACATTTTCGATGCTCCCTGACTGTCAAGCTTTCATTTGATGACTGTTAGTAAGCTGGACAGAGTGAGGAGACCATAAATGCAGGTCATTATCATTTCTACACAGTTTGGATTTAGTTTAAGTCATGTCGACTGAGATCGTTATTTCCCGCAAAATAAATATTCTTGAGTTTGACACGTGCTCTAGCTACAAGTCAACATTTATTTTCTAGTTTGTCTGTCATCCTGAAATCAGTTGGTGCCAGTAAAAATACTACAGTGTTGTAACACCACACACAGGATGGTGCCATCAAGCCAAAGTCAGTTGATGTTCATTTTACTAGATATGATGCTTACCGATGGTTGATTGCGCCATGTGTGCCAGGAGACCTACAGTGAAGAGCCGGCATCTGGCCCTCCACAGACTCCCATGTCCTAGCCTCCTCTCCAGGCCTGTGTATGTCCAATTCAGGCCCAGCCCAGCCAGCACACACACCACAGCATCGCTCTGGAGCCAGAACCACTCCACCTGCAGAGAGACCAAACACACAACACGGCCAGAGGAGATTGTGGCAGCCCAACTCAGGCCCATCCAGTCGCCTCCCTGCCCTAACTAAGCCCCATGGCTCAACACTCACCACTCCCAGCAGTAGGGGTCTGCTGGTGTCCAGGTTGGCTCTCCAGGCGAAGAACAGGGAGTAGAGTAGCAGCATGGCCATCAGCAGCCAGGGAACAACACGGCGCCTCCTGAAGGGGAAAGACAGGCATTTATCACAATAAGACCACTGGATTTACAATAGTTACTGTATATAGAAATACCATATACAGTGCCTTGCGTAATTATTGGGACAGCTACACATTTTTGTTTTGTTTTAGCTCTGTACTCCATCACTTTTGATTTGAAATGATACAATGACTATGAGGTTTAAGTGCAGACTGTCAGCTTACATTTTTAATCCTTATCGGGTGAACCGTTTAGAAAACACAGCACTTTTTGTACATAGTCCCCTCATTTTAGGGGACCAAAAGTGTTGGGACAAATTCACATACAGTACCAGTCAAAAGTTTGAACACACCTACTCATTCCAAGGTTTTTCTTTATTTTTTACTATTTTCTACATTGTAGAATAATAGTGAAGACATCAAAACTATGAAATAACACATATGGAATCATGTAGTAACCACAAAAGTGTTAAAAAATCAACAAAAAAATTATATTTGAAGATTCTTCAAATAGCCAACCTTTGCCTTGATGACAGCTTTGCACACGCTTGGCATTCTCTAAACCAGCTTCATGAGGTAGTCACCTGGAATGCATTTCAATTAACAGGTGTGTCTTCTTAAAAGTTAATTTCTGGAATTTCTTTCCTTCTTAATGCGTTTGAGCCAATCAGTTGTGTTGTGACAAGGTAGGAGGGGTATACAGAAGATAGCCCTATTTGGTAAAAGACCAAGTCCATATTATGGCAAGAACAGCTCAAATAAGCAAAGAGAAATGACAGCCATCATTACTTTAAGACATGAAGGTCAGTCAATACGGAACATTTCAAGAACTTTGAAAGTTTCTTCAAGTGCAGTCGCAAAAACCATCAAGCGCTATGATGAAACTGGCTCTCATGAGGACCGTGACAGGAATGGAAGACCCAGAGTTAACTGCTGCAGAGGATAAGTTCATTAGAGTTACCAGCCTCAGAAATTGCAGCCCAAATAAATGCTTCACAGAGTTCAAGTAACAGACATCAACTGTTCAGAGGGGACTGTGTGAATCAGGCCTTCATGGTCGAATTGCTGCAAAGAAACCACTACTAAAGGACACCAATAATAAGAAGAGACCTGCTTGGGCCAAGAAACACGAGCAATGGACATTAGACCGGTAGATATGTGTCCTTTGGTCTGGAGTCCAAATTTGAGATTTTGGGTTCCAACCACCGTGTCTTTGTGAGACGCGCAGTGGGTGAACGGATGATCTCCGCATGTGTATTTCCCACCGTAAAGCATGGAGGAGGAGGAGTTATGGTGTGGGGGTGCTTTGCTGGTGACACTGTCTGTGATTTATGTAGAATTCAAGGCACACTTAACCAGCATGGCTACCACAGCATTCTAGAGCGATACGCCATTCCATCTGGTTTGGGCTTAGTGGGACTATCATTTGTTTTTCAACAGAACAATGACCCACCACACCTCCAGTCTGGGTAAGGGCTATTTTAACAAGAAGGAGAGTGATGGAATGCTGCATCAGATGACCTGGCCTCCACAATCCCCCGACCTCAACCAAATTGAGATGGTTTGGGATGAGTCGGACCGCAGAGTGAAGGAAAAGCAGCCAACAAGTGCTCATTATTCTACAATGTAGAAAATAGTAAAAATAAAGAAAAACTCTTGAATGAGTAGGTGTGTCCAAACTTTTGACTGGTACTGTATGTGCAGGGTATCTGTTCATTTAACAAATCACATTTATTTTCAACCTCCCAATAGGTACATGAAAATACAGTACATGCAGTGCAATTCCCTCCCAAATGTATCGAGGTACAGGAGAGATAACATCACTCCGCCTGTAGACAGACACACTATCACAGCTAACATGTTCTGTAGCCCACAGCATGATTACTTTCCTAATGTTGGGTCTGGATGACAGAGTGTGAGTCACTGTGTGACGGGGCCTACCACTCTGCCTCACATCACCATGACAGCACAGAGGATGGTTGTAAATGGTTTTATCAAATAATGAGAAAACACTATCCCCTAGTGGTAATCAAAACACATATGTGAATGAAAATGAAAAGTGGAAAAAAATTACATCTTTATTTGTGCTGTATTTCAGAAAACTTTGCTGACATTTTCATGGAATTTCAATGGAATGACCCACGTATGTTGCGCATGTGTTTGCGCGCACATACATGCTTGTGTTTCCATGTGTGTGTGAAGCCAAGTGTGTCTGGGTGCCCCCCAGGGAAGGCAGGGGGAGGCAGGGGAGGCAGGGGGAGGCAGGGGGTGGGCAGTGCCCTGGGGACAGCCCTGCTCATGGGTTTCCTGGCTCTGCTCTGCCTTATCAGTGGCACCCAACCGACCCCAGCATAGGCACTACTGTAATGAATTACTGCATCAGAGAGCACTGCTACATACAGATACATGCATTCACATACACATCATTACACCTAGTAGACAAACACACACATACATCAAGATCTCCCTTTCTTCTTTTAATTGTACAGTGCCTTGACAGCACGACAGCTAGAATAGTTTATTTTCATGTTAAAAGCACTTGGCAATGGTTTTATTTCTCTAGAAGGAATGAAGATAGAGTGTATATGGACTTGGATTGTGCCTGTCAGAGAATGTCTGTCTGTCTGTCTGTCTGTCTGTCTGTCTGTCTGTCTGTCTGTCTGTCTGTCTGTCTGTCTGTCTGTCTGTCTGTCTGTCTGTCTGTCTGTCTGTCTGTCTGTCTGTCTGTCTGTCTGTCTGTCTGTCTGTCTGTCTGTCTGTCTGCTTACCTATCCCAGGAGGAGAGGACAGGCCCAGTCCAGCCAGGATCAGCACAGGGAGGGACAGGTCAGCCATACAGTGGTCCAGCTGAGCCCTGCCACACACACACCAAAAACCTCTGATTAGCAGACACCAATGTCTCTATGACCGCATCCCTCAAACCTCCATCAAACTGAAGGACACCAATTACTGAATACCCTCCCACTTCCTTTTCTTGCGACTGGAAGACACAAATAACTTCCCTCTCCCCATTCAAACAGACTAACTCTGTTGACTGTATGCACACTTCCATCCGATTGACAGACACCAATGAATGTGTTCTCCACCCAACCCCTGTCAGAGAGCCTGTCAGTCACAGAGACAGTTCCCCAGAGCAGAGAGATAGTTCCCTGCCTCTTCTTTAATACCCATCTCTTTTTGACAGCGTATTGAGTCTCTATATCGGGGAGTGTAGGCCGATGTGTGTGTGTGTGTTATGTGTGTAAGACTGTGTCAGCTTCTCTAGAGAGGTTTACGTCCCCAATGTGACATGCTTGTCATGTTCGCCTCTCTCCCTCGTCTTGAAGGTGTGCTTGTCCATCAACCAGCGGGGGTGATGGAAGTGGGTGGGGGCCGGGCTGAGGGGGGCTGGTGGTGGGGGGTCTTAAGAAGCGCACACTCCCCGCCCGTAGTCAGCCGTAGAAAAATACCAAAAGCTGGATGACGGTGGGGAGCGATAGAGGGGGTTGTTGGAGGAAAACACAATCTCTCTAGCTATATTGCAGTGTCTGTCATCACAGCTTGTCATGCTTAAACACCAGAGCTGAGTGATCATTTCAAACTGCTGGAGAAACAGAACACAGAGATTTGGCCCTCTAAGCAGGTTCAGTTCTGCTTTGATGGGAGAGAGGGGAGCGGGAAGAACAAACGCCGGGGAGAGAGGAGAAAGAGAGGGAGAGACAGGCTCCAGTCCTGGCGATGGATGGATTCCCTCCTTCAGAACAGAACTGATGGGTTTTTGTGTGATGTCTAGAGCCAAAAGCATTAGAAAACCACTCTTTCACTTCTACAGATCACATTATCCAACAAATAACCTTAAATATTCAACATTTAATGTAATATACCAGAAAAACTATTTGAAATAAAATACCCTAAAAGCTCAACTAAATGGAAACAATGTGTAAAACAAAGTGTTCAATTAAAATGTGTGAATTGTGCCAACCAAAAATCTAAAACATAAATTAATGCTATAGCAATGACTAATAATACTCACTGTAGAATCATGGTGAGGTTCACGGTACCCTCTGTCTTGGCCTAGGGTCAATTATTAAAGAAAGAAACACATCAACAATCACTACCATCCCTCCCACATTGGAGTTTGTGGTAAAGCTCCAAGATACTGTAATATACAGTGGCTTGCGAAAGTATTCACCCCCCTTGGCATTTTTTCTATTTTGTTGCCTTACAACCTGGAATTAAAATGGATTTTCTGGGGGTTTGTATCATTTGATTTACACAACATGCCTACCACTTTGAAGATGCAAAATATTTGTTATTGTGAAACAAACAAGAAATAAGACAAAAAAACAGAAAACTTGAGTGTGCATAGCTATTCACCCCCCCCCCCCCCCCCCCCAAAGTCAATACTTTGTAGAGCCACTTTTTGCAGCAATTACAGCTGCAAGTCTCTTGGGGTATGTCTCTATAAGCTTGGCACATCTAGCCACTGGGATTGTTGCCCATTTTTCAAGGCAAAACTGCTCCAGCTCCTTCAAGTTGGATGGGTTCCGCTGGTGTACAGCAATCTTTAAGTCATACCACAGATTCTCAATTGGATTGAGGTCTGGGCTTTGACTTGGCCATTCCAAGACATTTAAATGTTTCCCCTTAAACCACTTGAGTGTTGCTTTAGCAGTATGCTTAGGGTCATTGTCCTGCTGGAAGGTGAACCTCCGCCCCAGTCTCAAATCTCTGGATGACTGAAACAGGTTTCCCTCAAGAATTTCCCTGTATTTGGCGCCATCCAACATTCCTTCAATTCTGACCAGTTTCGCAGTCCCTGCCGATGGTGTTCTCAGGGTGATGAGAGGTTTTGGGTTTGCGCCAGACATAGCGTTTTCCTTGATGATTAAAAAGCTCAATTTTAGTCTCATCTGACCAGAGTACCTTCTTCCATATGTTTGGGGAGTCTCCCACATGCCTTTTGGCGAACACCAAACGTGTTTGCTTATTTTTTTCTTTAAGTAATGTATTTTTTCTGGCCACTCTTCCGTAAAGCCCAGCTCTGTGGAGTGTACGGCTTAAAGTGGTCCTATGGACAGATACTCCAATCTCCGCTGTGGAGCTTTGCAGCTCCTTCAGGGTTATCTTTGGTCTCCTTGTTGCCTCTCTGATTAATGCCCTCCTTGCCTTGTCCGTGAGTTTTGGTGGGCGGCCCTCTCTTGGCAGGTTTGTTGTGGTGCCATATTCTTTAAATTTTTTAAATAATGGATTTAATGGTGCTCCGTGGGATGTTCAAAGTTTCTGATATTTTTTTATAACCCAACCCTGATCTGTACTTCTCTACAACTTTGTCCCTGACCTGTTTGGAGAGGTCCTTGGTCTTCATGGTGCCGCTTGCTTGGTGGTGCCCCTCGCTTGGTGGTGTTGCAGACTCTGGGGCCTTTCAGAACAGGTGTATATATATATAGTGAGATCATGTGACAGATCATGTGACACTTAGATTGCACATAGCAAAGGGGGTGAATACATATGCACGCACCACTATTCCGTAATGTATTTTTTTGAAACAAGTATTTTTTTCATTTCACTTCACCAATTTGGACTATTTTGTGTATGTCCATTACATGAAATCCAAATAAAAATCCATTTAAATTACAGGTTGTAATGCAACAAAATATAAAAAATGCCAAGGGGGGTGAATACTTTTGCAAGGCACTGTATACTCCTTTACCTCAATAATGTGTGCACAAACGTTTCCCCCCTTTCTTCCTCTCCTGCCTCCATCTCTTTAGTGGTAATTGAAGCAAACTTGGGATAATCTGTCATATGCGAGACCCACCACTTACTAAAAAGAGACACAGAGGGAGAGGGACGACAAATGAGGAGGAGAAGAAGAAGTTGGAAAGGGAACTAAATTAGTACAGAGATGTGTGAGAGTTGGGGGTGAGAGTATGTGAGGATGAAATGAAGAAAACAGAGAAAAAAAGTTGAGGAGGAGAGAGAGGAAAAAATAGGAAGAAAAAAGCAGCCCAGTCCACGGCATGCTGGCTCTGAAATATGAGCGGGCTCGACAATTAGGGAAGTCAGGCAGTATGGCCCTTTCCGCCATTGTGTAGAGTGGCTTAGAGTCCTCATCAGCCTATCAGCTAACTGACAGGCAGAGAGCTGCTCTATTCAGCACGGCAGATACAAGCTGCAGGCCAAACGGCTGCCAGGTCCCTTATGACCCCACAATCCCTTGCCGGTGACAGCTTCAAGCTCCATAGCAAATTAGGCGCTCCCACATTACAATCGCAGAAGACAGATTCCATTAACGGTATCTGAAATTGAGTAGAGAGCAGGCCCGATATCAGACCTGACTCATAAGCACCGCCATTAATCACAAGGCATGATACCATTTATACATTTCCAGCTCTCTGCCTGCCGCTGTGATAGTCAGCCACAAAAGGCCTGATGAGACTTAGGCTAGAGGAACAATGGAGCTTTCTGAGGAAAGCGGTAAATCAGAAAAAAAAGGAGAGGGAGGAGAGTAAAAAAAAGTATTGCTTGCCGACTTTTTTCCTTCATTTTTTCCCTCTCCTCTCCTTTCCGCCAGTCTTTTTGCTCTGTGTTCTATGTGATGCAGGATTGTGGTGGGGGGTGTTGATGGGGTGGGGGGGGGTTCAGTCTTAGTAAGAGATAGCAGCGTCTTTCTCACTGCACCACTCCAGGAATTAGCTGTAACTTGAATGGTAGGAGAAGGGGGTGGGGGGCAGATGGGGACTTTTCTTGAGGTCCAGGGACGCCCCTCACCCTCAATTCTACCCCCCTACGCGGCAATTAACCCCCAGCCCACACGCTTAGCAGGGGTGCTAGTTTTAGGGTAGAGCAGGGTGCTGAGAGGTAGTGGGGGTCCTTGGAAGTAATGGGGATATTACACCAGGCTCGCTATGGCTTCTAAAGACATGCCTGTCTAGAACACACACACTCTCCTGTCCCCCGGCCCTTTATTCCTTCTGAGA